CTTTCACAAGGAAACACACAGCGCCTTCACGACATGGCAGCGGCGGCAACAACTACAATACTACAGCGAGAATAAAAGTTACGTCTTCTTTCTTTGCGTGAACATTTGGGCGGTGTTATGCAAATCTTCCCACATCGTGACGTAGACATGTGGGGGCGTGTTCGAACGAGCCGTTTTAGGTAGGTGTGGCTAACTCTTAACTTTTATAAAGAATATCTCTTTGGATTTGAGACTTTAGTCTTTGCAACTTTACAGATCTTCTTTATGCACCAAGAGCTTGTAACACTCCAAAGAGAAAGGAAAACTTGAAATCGCATCATATGACCCCTTTAATGTATTTCTATTAAGAACTGTTGAAAGGTTCTCTAACGGCACTGATGGTTTCACGAAGAACCTTTAACATCAGTGGAACCTTTCCATTACACAAAATCTGCTTTTATAGTGGAAAAAAAGCTCTTTAGATTTTTGAAAAGACAACTGTTGACTGAAAGGTTCTTTGAAGAACCAAGGAACATTACACTTTTAAAAATAAAGTCTCCAAAAGGGAGTTTTCCCAGTGATGCCATAGAAGAACCATGTTGGTTCCCCAACCACCTTTGACTGTTCTTTTCCTCAGTGTGAAGAGCATTGTACTAATCTAAAGAACACTTTTTTCCACTATAAAGAACCTTTTGTGCAATAGAAGGTTTACATGATTGTTAAAGGTTCTTCATGCAACCATCAATGCACAAAAAACCTGTATTTTTTAGAGTGTACAGCCTTCATGTTCTTCGTTGTTTGCTCAGAATAGACATCTACTCAATGGAGAAAGAGCATGTAGTTAAAAAACTAGCAGCAGGGGTTAAACTGATCAAACTAACCAACTGAACCTCTGGTTGATATAGTCTAGTAGGCTTGTGGTTTCAGATGTAGTTTTTTACCCTCCACACTCACACTGATGATTTCAGAGCTCAAACTCTTTTTCTGACGCACCTTTTTTGTCTATTTGGTCTGTTTCCTGGCTCTCGGCGGCAGGCACATCGGCTCGTTTGGCTTCCTCCTCCTTCTGTGTGTTTATGTCGTCAGTGGGGTTCTCCGCCTCCTGCAGCTGCTCCTGCGCCTCCTCTTTAGTGGGCGTGTCTGAGGGGGCGGAGTCAGTGGCAGCAGTGGGCGGGGCTTCCGCGGCAGGTGAGTTGGGTTGCTCCGCCGGTTTGCTCTCCTCTGCTGTTTCCATGGAAACCTCGGCAGGTTTCTCCTCTGATGGAGAGACTTGCTCCTTCTCCTCGGCGGACTCGTCCGGAGCGGCGGCGTTCTCCTCGTCTTTCTCTTCGTCCTTCATCTTTTTCCGGGTGATGTGTCCACGGAAGCTGGCCTGGATCTTGGTGGCGGCCTTGTGGGCGTTTTCCTCCAGTTTGGTTCCATCCTGCTTGATCTCCTGATCAGCCTCTTCGTTCTTCTCAACCTGAGACCAGAAACACAAACACCATCAGTAACTCCAACACACTCACCTGAGACGCTCAAGTCAAGTCACCTTTATTTGTATAGCGCTACAATACTGGTTGTGTCAAAGCAGCTTTAGAATGTCAAACAGGAAGCTAAAGTCAGCTCATTGATGATTCAGTGACGTCATCATCCAGTTCAGCTCTCTCAGACACACACTGACTTCCATAACACTTTTTTTCCATACTGTGGAAGTCAGTGAATTTTCATTTTTGGGTGAATGATCCATTTAAGCTGAAATAGAGTTAACTACTGAAGCCCGTTTAGTTAAGAAGTTAGTTAAGCATTAGTTTTTCTCATAATTCAGAGAATAAAAGTCACAGCTGCAAGATATAAACTCACAATTGTGAGAACAAAGTCAGAAATGTGAGATAAAAAGTCATAGCTACCATTTTTAATCCATGATGGGGGAAAAAATCAATTGTGAGATATCAACTCCGGATTCTGAGAGAGAAAAAAAGTCAGAATTGAAAGATATGCAAGATGAACTCAAACAAAGCCCGCAAAGCTCACAATCACGGGCTTCCATAGAAGAGTGCCCACTGGAGCTAAGCTTGTGTAGAAACAACATGTTCTGACCAACTGACACACGGATCCAGAGCAACTGATCAGTTCAGTTTATGCATCAGAGGAACAGAAGCAATTATTCACATATTCACAGTGCCACGTTTATCAGACAGCTAGATTAGGAAACAAGCTTGAGAGAAATGCAGTTTTGCGAGTGCATTGGTTCAGCGCTGGAGGTAGACGCGTGTCTGATGCTACAGAGCCCCAGCGTAACTTCCCATCAGGCATCTGGACGTATGATTACAATGCTTTAATTGAATGAGCATTAGAGCATTTGAGACTGCGAGTGATTTTAATAGACGCTGCTGCAATCCCACGATTACAAGCGTCTCAGTGCTGAGCGACATGAAGATCTGGGCGTCTCATCTTCACGAACAAGAGCACAAGTGCAAAAGAGTGCGTAGTTTCTAAAAACCTGATTCTTAGGAGGTGAATTGTAATTTTTGAAATGGCCATAATTATCCAGATGGATCTCGACACACATTTATCACGTGATCTCAGATGTCTCCGATGGATGAACGCATCTGAGATGCAGGACTGAATCATCGCGTCTCGCAGGACCCCACGTTCCCTGCTGAGACGCATCCAGACGTGATTAAAGCCATTAGCGCTGGAGTTCAGACTGAGGTTACGTCTCTCAGGATCACACACACGTCTGACGTCTGTGTGTTTTCTGCTCTGGACCAACATCAAACATAAACGTCGTCATATCAATAATAAATATCAGTATAGCATGGCAAAGCTAAAAGCAAAGCACCTGTTAGGATAAGAAAGCGTGACGTCTGACCGGAGAATCAGGGAGAAAGACTCAATATTTACCTTGTCCATCAGCGTCCAGTGAGGCTTTTGTCCACCGAGGGCCTTTTAATTTAATACTGAAATGCGTCTAATGAAAAAAGCAAGCATAAAATGAAAAAAATCAATGTGTAAAGTGACATATAATGCATGACAAAAACATTCATAAAACAAAGTCAAAAGTAGCTTGAAGCATATCAAAATTAAAAAGTGTATAAACATAAAAGCAAAATTAAAATCTAGTGAACAGAAGCCAAATTAATGACAATGCAACATGAAGGCAATTTCATTTGGAAACACTTTTTCATTTATATATGCAATCTGCAAATGGACTGCAGAAAATGATGTCATTTCTGCAAATGCATGAGGATTGATTCTGCTGCGGTTCAGGTGTTTGAGCGGCTGTTTATACGGCATCTGTTTTCTAATATTTTACCACATAACCTGTGGATGCAACTGTACTACAATCAATATCCATCAATAAACATCTCACACACACACTCTCACGCACTCACACTCACGCACTCACACACATACACACACTCTCACGCACTCACACACATACACACACTCTCACGCACTCACACTCACACACATACACACACACACACTCTCACGCACTCACTCTCACGCACTCACACACTCTCACGCACACACACACTCTCACGCACTCACACATACACACTCACACGCACTCACGCGCTCACACACACATACACACTCACGCACTCACTCTCACGCACTCACACACATACACACTCACACGCACTCACTCTCACGCACACACTCTCACGCACACACTCTCACGCACACACACTCTCACGCGCTCACGCACACACTCTCACACTCACGCACTCACACACTCACACAC